CGACTGGTTTCGATGGAGCAGGTCACATATGACAAAGATGAGGAAGAACATAAACATTATGCAGCGTTTTCACTGCACTCTACTAAACTCGCTCTCCTTTGGTAGAAGTAATAGTAAAAAGAAAATAAATAGGACCTAAAAGCAACAGTGAGTTGAGTAAGTCCAGCCAAAACATGCAGTGGAAATGAGGCATTAATGTCTCAAAAAAAGCCCCTATATTTTATCTGTGATTCATAGAAAAACACAATACATGATGCACAGCGGGATTACCACTTTCATAGGAACTTGTATGTGATCATGTGTACGTGGCCTTCATATAACATCATTGAGTTTTAATCTATAATGTTGCTTGCTTGCCGCAGTAGGTGCAAATTAGACTTAATAAAGGCAAGGCCCAGATATTTAAATCACCAAACAGGGATTTCTGTCATCTTATATTCATCATGGCATGACACCATTGCGCTTGCTTTGGGTGCTTTGATTGAAATTGATGGAGGTCAATTGTTACTGGCAGGAGGGGTTTAAAAAAATAAAAGTACGAGTGAAATCCTGATGCAATATTTCATCTTGCAGAGACCAGATAAAGCCTAATGAAAAGCGAATATCACTGTACACTGTGCAGCTGCACGCCTCCACACTTAGTCCATCAGTATGCAGAGCATTCGGCAAGCGGCTCTAGAATCACAAGCCTTGTGGGACCCACCACAGTCGGGTTGAGGACATGCAAGTACCTTTCTCACATTTAACTAAACCATTCCTCCCCGCACGGAGAAAAAGGGAATCACATTAAGAGATGTCACATCTGAAGAAAGGCATGGAGATATGCAATGTCACCGCTAGGCTATCAGGAGACTCCTTTTAATCAAAGGCCCTCATCATAATGTCCACAAGCCTCTTCCTTTGCAGTGGTCTGTGCAAAAAGTTGTGAAACTGCTGGTATGCCGAAAGCTCTCGCTCTCTCCCTGCTGTGGTTCTCTGTAGATCATCTTTGATTGACCCAATTAGGCGAGTCCACCGGGTGATGCTCGCTGCTTATTAGTGTTTCACATTGGCTTAATCATTGGACGCAGTACGTGAATGAGGTGCAAAGCAACCTGGCAGAGGACTGACACACGCCTCCTCTTAAGAGCGAATCAAACCAAATGATGATATAACCTGTGGTAACTCCAGCAGCTGCTTTGAGTGCTTATCAGAACCAGTCTTAATACAATTTAATAGGCCACTGGTTTGGAGAAATACTTAGGAAACCGTTAAAAAAATAAAAAGTACTGTAAGGCTATTACTTGACATCTATTATATAAATACGCAAGAAAGCAAGCCAATCAAGTGTTCTCCCCAGTGGTGGTTTTAAGGGCATGTCAGCTAACGTTTTTGTGCATTATTTAAAATTTGCAGCATTTGTCAAAAAAGAATTCAAGACATAATGAAGCAATATTTTATGAGATGAGCTCTAGAGAAGTGGGATGTGAGAGAAGCGAGCGGCAGAGCATTGTGCTACAGATGCAGGTGAACTCCCCTATGTGATGGATGGAGGGGAAAAGGTAATTTGTGAAGAGACCTACCTGCCAAGATGATGAAGAGTTCTCCTTTGTTGATTTTCCCACAAGTATCTCCCAGACAGGAGTCATAAGAGAGCTGAGCTTACAGTGACACCTTGACTGGCAATGGAGGAGAGGTAGTCCATTCTTGAAGCTTTGTGTGTGTTTAAAATAAAGAATATCATTATGTTTTGATGGGGATTCTCTGTCATACGCAGAGGTAATTCCTCTGCTCTGGTGACAGGGTTGCCTTTGGGCCTACTGTGTGACAGTATTTGTAAATAGATTAAACTTTCCTTAAGGAATACGAGAGGCATGCTGTTACATAGACAGTAGCTCCTTATTTGGAAACAAGGATGCAAGGTGTTTGTGCTGCCTGCAGTTTGAAACGTTGAGACAGATTGATGTCTGGAGCTTTAACCCAGAGGTTCAGCTTTTTCTGATCGTTATCTAAACAGTCGTCATGATCAATTATATGAGAATAACGTTGTGTTTTTTGAAAGTTACATGCCATCGTTCAGATTTTTATTTCAAAGGACAAACATCTAGTATAGAATGAAATGGTTATTTAAGAAATACCTCTGAATGTGTTTGAATTTAATAAGGCGTTTGCCGAGCTGAGGCATCATTCCCATTGCCCATGGCGTTTGTTTGTGTTTCACACAGAGGAAATTGGCCAAAAGACATTTCATGTTTGAGTTTTCCAAGGTATATTATGGTGTACCAATGAGCCTGGAGAAGTTAGGCTCTATAAACTCTTCCCTGGACACTTTCGGTATAAGTAGCCTTCCTTGATGCTGCAGGTTATACATCTGTAATAGTCTCTAATGTTCTTCCTTGTGTCCTAGATGTTAGTAAAAGTATCATCATGGCCATGTGTTGATAGGTCTGATGACAGTTGTATACTGATTTGAAGTGTGATTAAGAAGGTGTAAGCTAATTATTAGGATCAAGGTGCTATGTCTATAATCTGAATTTTGTTTTCACACTTTTTTTATTCAGAATTAAAGCCTTTATGACACACATATATATATATTCAATCTGCTGTATGTTACATATGTTAGAATAAAAAAGCCCAGCTTATCGCTGTTTGATTCAGAATGTAATCACACTTGAAGTGACTAAAATGACAGCATTTCTGTGGCATTATTGTTGCATATGGTGATAGATGTTTATGCAGAAGTACTTAAATATTTCACGCACAGAGAGATCTAGATAGGTGTTGTTTTAACAAACAGCCTGCGCTTAAGCACATCCCTTAGTGATATGCAGTCAGCAACACATCAGGATTCCTTCTGGTGTACGGAGATGGAGGCTGGCGCAGTGGAACTCACACAGGTAGTAAAATCAATAAAAGCGTTCTATGTGCATGTGTAATGTGCTGTCAAACTTCATCACGCTGCGACATCCTCATTTGTTCCCAATCACATTTAATTAAAACTTGTAAAAGCTTTGTGACACACCTCCTTTGAGCAAGCTGTTCAGAGCTGTAGTCTTCATGTACAATACCCTCTGGCTATAGTGTATGTTTTTATTGCAGTTTATATTTGGTACTGTATTTGTTAACGAAACAATGAAGGATCCCTCATTCTGTTCTGAGATGGATGTCACGACAGAATAAGTAAACTAATTCAAAAGTACATTTCCGGAACATTAAATCAAAAAAAATTATTAGAAACCTGCCTCATGTTGTGAATATAACTTCTCGTCTGTATATCTAAGCCAGATTCTCTAAAGATTAAGGTCATTATTAAAGGTCAGTCTTTTCTTATCAGGCTACTATTCCCTCTTTGATACAGTGTCCCATTTAACTACAAGAGCTGTTTAAAGCAACAATAACTGCATTTAACCTATTTTGTTCACACTATATATGCTTCCGTTAGGCAATATTATAAGGAATCATTCTGTAAACTTTCATTGTTATGCGGATGATACTCAACTATATTTATCAATCAAGCCTGATGAAATTAATCATCTAAATAAAATTCAAGACTGCCTCAAGGACGAAAGCTTCCATTCGCTTACCGCGGAACGGGTAACTTTCCCGAAAACTCCGCTCTTACGTTCTTAAACATTTTAGCATAAGGACAACAGAATATACACTCGGTCAATTCCGCGGTCTCTGTCCCAATTACCGCAGGAAGGTGTAAGTGAGACCAGTCATTGTGCTCGACGTCGTAAACTTAGTCGAAACTTCGCTGAATGACTGAAGGAAACCATGTGGGACCTATATATTCCTCAAATGTTAGATTAGGTCGGAACCTTCATGTTAAGTACCTGATCAAAAGACGGTAGCAAAAACTCCGTTTATACGGACTAAAAAGTTACAATAGCATACTACCTTCAATCCGCCAGGAAACTATTAGACTAAAGTACACCCACAAATTTCGCTACTTTTAAAGGACAGTTTTATATCTGTGGTTCTTAAGGACATGTTCAGAGTGACCTCCGGAGTTTAATTTACGGTAGGTATCAAACATTTATAGAAATCTATTTAACAAAGATCTAAGAAGCCCGGTTCATGTTATTTGAAGTCAAAGAAAAAAGCAACCGCACAAATTGTAGTTTTTACATTCCAGTAGG